ATTCACGAAGCAATCTCTTCCAGCGAATTCATTCCATGGTTCTTAAAGTGTTTCAGGGCTCCTTTAATATAGTAAATAGCAGACACTGCACTGTCGCATTGATAAGGCAGCATGATGTTAGTTTCTACATATTATTGATACATAATAAATTTAAGTGCAATATAAATTTGTTTAATACATTATGCCATATTATAAAAATTTAATCTATTTTAAGCACATGCACAATTCATCTGCGCACAAGCATAACAGGAACCTATATTATTTTGCTTTGCTGTTTTTAGGGGCACACTTGTCACCTCATCGAATGAGGTAGTGTGTCACAGTAATACCCTAGCGGTCCAACAGTAATAGTCCTAGGGTTAAACTAACCCAATGAGATGCAGCACAACGCAAGGTAAAGAAAAATGAATTGTAAAAGGAGTTCAGCTTCCCCTACTTTCATTGTCTTGTGTAATTTGACTGTTGCAGTCACTATGGTTGAATACAACTTGGGACAGCGATCGCCTCCACCATTAAAATAGTCCCCCTTGTATCGAGTGTGTTATCTGAAGCGAGCCAGCACTATGTGCAGACGGTGCTCCGCGCAGGCTGTCACCCTTGCCACTCACATGTATATAAGCACACTCGATTAAAGGCAGGGGCTCGTACTCCAGCAACCCGAGGCGGCGTCTTGCTTTATCGCATCGCGCGATACATGGTGTTAGAAGTGGCGAGTCACCGGTTTTGATAGGTGTACCGGGGCGCCTGGAGAAAAACAGCGATGGAATTTGTGAAGCCACCGGACCCGCTACGTTGTAGAGGGGACATTCAGTAGGAACTGGAAGTTGTTCATACAGAAATTCAACCTGTTCCTGACCTCGTTCGAAACCACCGACAAGAAGCCTCGCCCGAAGACTGCGAAAGGTGCCCTTCTTCCGAGTATCGCAGGCGAAGAAGCCATCGAGGTCTACAACACCTTCACTTTTGCGGAGGGCGAAAGCAGCCTTGACTACGCTACTGTGGTCAAAAAGTTCGAGGATTACTGCGACCCCGAACAATACGAAGTCTACGAGCGGTACGGAACTAGGGGTACTATAGTAAGAGAGAAGCTGCTAGCAGACAAGCTTGCCTTGGAAAATGCCAAGAAAACTTGCAAGGCAGCAGAAATATCCGCAGCACACCAAGAAGCTTGGGGTCAAGACACGAAGCAGCTTGACCCGGTGTGCAAAGCCACGTGACATGTACTGACAGGCGCCGAGACTACAAGTGTAGGAAATGCGGGCGAACACACGAAGCTGCGTGATTGCCCTGCGCTTGGAAAGGCATGCAGAAAGTGCAAAGAACCACTTCACAGTTTGCTGTAGGGTGAGTGCTAATGTCCACGAACTCGAAAAGTCCGAAGACGACTTTGACGTCCTCGAGATTTGGGTTAACAAAATCAACAGGGAACGCGACTGAACTGTAGAAGCACGCGTGAACAATGCGTCAGTGCAACTCAAAGTGGACACGGGATCTGAAGCTAACTTGCTGCCCTTCGGACCTTATAAAAAAAAATGCACCCGAAGACTACTTCAACCGAGCAGTGCGGTCTTGCATTCGTACGGTGGGGGTCTGATTATACACTTAGGTGCTATCAGGGCAGAAGTAGAAATTGACAGACGCAAAACCATAATGGACTTCATCGTGCGCAATGGACGTCAAACAATACTTGGCCTGCAAGCATGTGAACAAGCAGGACTCCTGTGCCGATGAGTTCACAGGGTATCTGAAAATAGCTCAGAGAAAGTGGGGTTAAAGACTTTCCACACTCGTTTTCTGGCACAGGCTGCGTCCAGCGATGCTACCGGATGGTGCTCCGCAAGGGAGCAAAACCAGTCGTTCAAACAACTCGCCGGGTGCCCTTGGCCCTACAGGAACCACTCAAGGAAGAACACAGCGCATGGAGCGAGCCGGAATAGCCGTCAAAGTCAAGGAACCTTCAGATTGGGTGAGCCCACTTGTACGAAAGAAGAATGGCAAGCTCCGCGTTTGCATTGACCCTCGAAAGATTAAAGAAAATTTAAAGCGGGAGCACTACGAAATGCCTCAACGCGATGATATCAAAGCAGAACTCGCAGACGCCGTAGTCTTTTCACGATAAGATGCGAACTCTGGGTTTCATCAAATCCCGTTAGATGATGAAACTTCAAAGATTTGTACATTCTCAACACCGTTTGGACGTTACCGGTTTTTGAGGTTGCCATTTGGCATTTCATCGGCGCCAGAGGTCTTTCAACAGATGCTCAATGAAATTTTTGAAGCAGTCCCTGGTGTAAAAGTGTATGTTGACGACATACTAATCTGGGATACATCAAGGAGAGAGCACGACGAGCACCTGCGACTTGCATTACAGGCTGCACAATGGGCGGGCTTGACGTTCAATCGAACAAAGTGCACAGCCGGCGTCGAACAGATCGAATTTCTGGGCGACGTTATTGGTGCTGAAGGCATTAAGCCCAGCCCTTCCCTAATAAAGGGTATGATAGAAATGCCGCCACCAGCCCATAAGGTCGCAGTCCAACAAATGCTGGGTGTTGTAAACTATTTTGCCAAGTTCATGCCGTCGCTCACTGAGAAAACAACACTGCTCAGAAGCTTGATCAAGAACGACGCGGTTTTTGAATGGTCAGAAAACCACGCGCACGAATGGAAACAACTATGCGATACTTGGAGCAAGCACCCACTGCTAGCAATATTCGATCCCAAAAAAGAAATTAAAGTGTCCTGTGACACGTCACGAAATACAATGGCAGCCGCGCTTCTGCATCGTCATGGCAGCCACTGGAAACCCGTGGCATATGCGTCAAAGGTATTATCGGATACGGCGCAACGGTATTCTCAAATAGAAAAAGAGGGTGGCCATTCTGTACGGCTGTGAACGATTTGACTACTCCATATCCGGACGCAAAGTAATAGTCTAAACTTATCATCGTCCTGTTAATTGCAATCTATAAAAAAGCAATAGGCGATATCCCACCCAGGCTGCAGCGGTTTTGCCTACGGTTCTTGCGTTACGACATCGACCTATGCTTCGTTCCAGGAAGCAGCTGGTGCTCGCCGACATGTTATCAAGGGCTTCAATCAAAGACGACGGGGACTGACATCCCACACAGCCTCGTCACTTGTCAGTGACTACACGTGGAACAGGCTTATAAAGGAAACCAGCAAATACCCGTTATCTAAGCTCTGTTCGTAAAAGCATTGTTGCCGGCCTGCCTATTAAAGGACATCTCAAGTCATTTGCTGGCGAGCTATCCGAAGTCAAAGGCGTCCTTCTTAAAGGCTGCAAGGTTATAATACCAGGAAACATGTGGAAGGAAATCTTGGAAAATATCCACTGAGGGCACGTTGGCTTGCTTGCAAGCAAATGAAGAGCGCGGCGTTCAGTATTTTGGTCCGGAATGAAATCTGATATTGACAAATTTGTTCAGACCTGCGTAGTTTGCAAAAAGTATGCGTACTACCAGCCACGAGAGCCACTTCAAATGCGTCCTGTGCCCGACCAAGCCTGGTACAGGGTTGGTATAGACAAATCTTTGACTACAGTGGAAAATCGTACCTCTGCGCCTACGACTATTCAAACTTCCCCGAAATAGATATGCTCACTGAAACGTCGGCTAGAATGGTCATCAAATCAATCAGGGCTATCATTGCCTGATATGATATCCCCATGGAGGTCTGTACAGACAATGGCCCACAATTTACAAGCAAAGAATTTGCTGCATTTTGACGCGTGTACGAGTTTCAACATGTTACCTCCAGTCCAGGATTCCTGCAGTCCAACGGGCTAGTGGAAAAAGGGGTACAAATAGTGAAAAGGAATTTAAAAAGCATGGAAGCTAAAGAAGATGTTTGGCTGGGGCTTCTCACGTACAGAACTACACCGCTGGAAGCCGACGTCCGATCGCCTGCGTTGCTGCTCCAGGGTCGGATCCTGCGCTTGACGTTGTCGTGCATCCCTAGGAAGCCCAGAACCCCATTGATTGATATGTGAAGTTTAACGTCCCAAAACCACTATATGATAATGAGAGACACCGTATTCAAGCGCCGCCCAATGGAAGACCAACAGGTGCCCACTGGCTCTCTAAGGAAATGAGATGTCGTACGAGTGAAGAACGGGACGTGGACTACAAAAGCAAAGGTCACAGAGCCGTTGGCTCAAACCCGGTCCTACAATGTCTTCACAGAGGGAGGTAGGCTAGTGCGACGCAACTGGCAACATATTTTACCCATTCAAGAAGCCTTTCATAAAGATCCTTCAGAACTTGTCGAATGCGACGACGAAAGTGCTTCAACACAATCGACCCCTGTGCCAATGCCCACAGCACCAACTGTGCCCAGAGCTCCAACCTCTGCGTCACTTGTTCCGGCTCTGCGGAGGTCGCTATGGCAGTGCAGACACCCTCGCCATCTAACTTACAACAGAAACTTTGTGCAAGTGCCATGAAGCAGATGTGCAGCCTGTGTGAACGATGGGACTGTCGTACAGATGAACCAGTAACGTAATCTACGCAAACTGCACTTTCTTGTGTTCCTTTCCAGTTCTGTCTTGTCTCCTCTCAAACAGAGGGGGATGTATTGAGTGTGTGATCTGAAGCGAGCCCGCGCTATGCGCGGATAGTGCTCCGCGCAGGCTGTCACCCTTGCCACTCAAAGTATATAAGCACACTCGATTAAAGGCAGCGGCTCGTACTCCAGCAACCCGAGGCTGGTGTCTTGCTTTATCGCATCGCGTGATACACCCCTCATGCTTACGGCTATGTTCTTAAAAGGTGCAGTCATTAGTCTGGAGTGCGTGCTAATTAGCACGTGCCTGCTTCTGCACCAGCGTTTGAAGATGCCACAAACTGGAAAAGCTTCATCCGAGTATAGTCCCAACTCATAAGAACGAGTTGAGTATACGGTGTATGAAGGAGATATTCAGATTTCTTACATATCAAAATCGTGCGTGTAAAACATCAGCAAAGAGTCAACACCACAAGACAATTTGAGGAATTTAATGCACTCTCTGTACGAAAGTAACATATTGATAAGTCACAGTCAAAAAAAAAAACGAAGCATTTCTATTTACAGCAAACACAATAACACTGAAACAAGCTTTTGTTGAATACCAACAGCACATGCGGTGGAAGTCAAATCATGAACAGGCCCAGCAGAATGCAAATGCAAAAGGAAATCAATGGCTTCAACCAACATTTAATTCTTTAGTTTCACTCGTGAGAATGTAATTTTTTTTTTTGCAAAGCTAACGCACTGAAGCGTACTCTGCCTACTTATTATTTGTAAGCTATGATGCGACAGCGAGACTTGCTCAAAAAGCATCTACATTCTGAAGAACTCCCCTATAGGTGAAACTTTGCCACGAATCTCTCATTGTCGTGAATCAGGCGTGCATTCATTTCAAGCTCCATGCTCCCACTTTTCAGCCAGGAGTACCAGATGTGTAATCACACCCCATGCCTATGTACCGGGAACCTACATTTGTGTACTACTTAGACACGCCATGCCTAGGATACCTGGCACCTAGGTTTTAAAGGCGAAGTACCAGGTACACAATGTAAAACCAAGTGCACATATTCGCGATTCTTGTACGGCAAAAATACACCCTCAAAGGACTGCAACTGTGAAGAGTGCCGAAACACTATTCTAGATAAAATTCTTGAAATTGTGCCGACTTTTCAAGCCACAACTGGCAAGTGTTCCAGCAAACACATCAGTGGCTTTGCAAACTGGTACTGCACTGCTGCCCTAGCCGAGTGTGATGAACCTTGCAACGTTGGAATACGCGGCGCTTAATGTTGTCAGCGCACGTCCTCGTTCTTGTCTCGTGTGTTGTGTACATTACGTGCTGCGTATTCCAAAAGATTCCCCCCCCCCCCAGCTCGCCTCAACACTTTCTGAAGCCATGAACCTTAGACTACCTGTCATCATCAGGTTATGATGGTGCATTTACAGGACTGTCTTCTTCACCAAAACAGAATGAGACGCCCATAGATCATTTGTGGGTACCCCAAAAGGTTTTGCTCATATGTAGCATAGTGGGTGCTATAGCCAATGACGAGGACGGCCATTCACTACGAAAGTGGCCAGTTGTAACAACAGTCTAGCTGGGTCATGTTCTTGTTGAAAGTGTTGCATTCCCTAGTTCACCGGTGCTATGAAAACAGTTCCACAAACCTCATACCAAACTCTGACAGCTTACGCTAAGAGTTGCAGCCAAAAGACACACGAACTGTATCTCCCATTAACTCCAATTACACAGAATGGGCTTTCAAAAGCTTATCAGTTTAATAAGCACACAACAAAGCTACCATCACATATGTGTACTTTTCCTAAAGCCTCTTGAATATCTCACTCATGTGCACCACTTGGTTGCATCACCATTTGAGTGATTGCAATAAATCTTATGATCTTAAAACTGAAACGTGCCGAGTTACATGCATATAAAATATTCAGGAAGGTGTGAAGAACGACGCAGCACAAAAGGGTGTTCCTATTTCCTATTCTGATCCACCTAGACATATCACAGCTCACATGCCCAATGTGAGGAAATGGCCAAGAATTTGTTACAAGTCCTTCCGCATTCCCTCCACCCTCCTCGTTTTTCCATGTGAAATTGTGTGCCGTCATCATGAATGTGCACCCTATAGTTATTCCCAGTGCTTTACTACATCCCATTCACTTTTAGCAGTGCTAAACCATGCACAATAGTAGGTGTAGCCATATATCTGGCTTTGTTATTCTTGTATACACAAGGCTGCTGACAAGGTGCAAACCGGGAAATTATTCTTCTGCAAACAGATGTACCTTTGAGCCACAGACTGCTGCTACATCAGCACAGGCCAATCTAGGCGTCTCTACGACCAGCAAAGTGCAAGCTACGGTACCATAGCTTGTAATAAAGAACGGTCTAGCTAAACTACTTGGTGTCAATTCTAGAGACCCTACACGCACTAAAGCAATGCGAAGTTGTCATTCTGATGCGCTGCACGTTCACTTGGGCAAGGCTCCCTTGCACAAAGTACAGACAGGTCGTGCACAGTGTCCTTAAATTTGCCGGTCTAAACTGCTGTTTATGCAAACTACCATCAACTTGACAAATGTGCTTACGACTCCCACATGCACAGGCCCTTTCAAATAGGTCAGGTGCTTGAATGGTCGGCCTGCTTCTTTGTGTAACGACTTCGTGCGAACTCTGGCAAAATGATAGCGGCTACAGGAGCTGGATCACCTCTAATGAGCTCCAGAATTTGGTCTTCGATGAAAAATATGTGCGTTTGTTGAATACCGAAAATGAGGTTGTTACAATCGTCAATGAAAGAAGAAACCTAAAGGAGACCTCACTACTGCGGTGACTCCACAGTAAATCAATATCAAGCTGTTATAGCGTCAAATGGCTAGAAAAAAAAAAAAGAAAAAACATGGCACTCGTTTGGAGATTGATCAAGATGGCACTTTAACAACTCCAAGCAAATTTCTCCAGTACAAACTATTTTGACTAAAAAATCAATTTCGATAAAATAAAATTATGATTGTGCACCTCGGGATATATTTTGCAGCATGGAACCTCCTTAAAAATCAAATAAAAGTAGTGCTGGGCTGTTTTTGTGGCTAAAGATTGGTTGCCGCACAGGTTAAAAGAGCAGTGCTTTCGACTGGCGAGTAAATTGTGTCCGATTGTCCACCACAGTGCAGGAGAAGCAAAGTGCAAAAAAAAAAAAAACTGACCCAATAGCAGACGCGATTCCCAACAATCGGTTCATACTAAACACCTGTGCGAGTCACTCCCATGATGAAAAAAAACTTTGCTCCTTAAAAACTCGAAATGCTCAAGCTGCGACTTTTGACTCGGACACTGCTAGTGAAAGAAAGCTTGGGCTCATTGAAATGCAATAATTCAGTCCACAATGCAGTGAAAACTTTCTTGCGACGAAGCGAAGCGAGAAGCAACGGCAAAACACTACCTAAACCGATCACAGCCCAGAGAACAGCACCTCTCTCACAAGGGCAAAACCTCCGGAACTTGCATCTCACTAAGGTGCAGCATCGCATCCCCCCCCCCGTCTTGGTCCATACGTCGAATCATCACATTTGAAAGAGCTCAACACAACAGATACACTGCCACTGAAGTGTGCCAGCATGTCCGCAAGGTAGCTCCAGAAAAAAGCACATCAGTCTTTTTCTTTGTTCCTCAGATGCAGGCATCGAAATTGTTCACGCAGTGAGGAGACTGTCGCAATGAACATGGTCACGTGGTCCTCACACGGACATCACCCGGGCACAGTCACTACTGTTCTGGACGTTTTCGTTGATTTACAAAGTGGACTCTTCGCCGACGAGATGCACGGCTGTGGCACGACGCTGGAGCCGTAGTACAGAGCCTAGCTACCTGAAATCATCGTCAGTGAGGTCGAGTCAGGAGAGGTGCGTTTTTTTTAACGCTACCATTTTGCACGGTGACAGAGTGTTATGCACTCTGCAATTTTCAACATTGCAATTAATGTGTTTTACACAGTGCTAAATACAGCATCTTACTCGAAAACTTGCATCCAATTAGGCTCGCGGTGGGGATTTCAAAAAGGCCTTTCAATGTCACCCTTTATAGCAAAGCTGTCCACTCATTCTCGAAATTAGTCTTTTTGCTGTCCACAGCCAATTGCATACAATCAGCTTGCCTAACGAAAATGTTTTTAAGTAAAATAAATATTGCTGCTGTCCAGCTCATGAGCAATTTCAATAGCAAGTGCACCGAAAAAGCACTGTCACAAGTTGTGGACGAGTCTGTGCCGATCCCTCAAGTGAAGTAAATTTCTCTCTGCTTAGACTACCGAACACTCTAACACCGACAGTCATGAGCTGTGTTCAGGTTCATCTTGCGTGCGTTCAAAACTGCTGCCAGAGTTGAAGTCATAAATGTTCACTTACAGTGCAAAGATTGCCCCGATTTATGATCATTGAAAAGGCCCTCAGTGACATTTCCTTTTTTTTTTTTTTAACCCTAATGCCTTTGGGTGCTTATCACAGGGTAGCTAGCCAGCCTAAGAACTGGCTAACATCCCATGTTTTCACTTACTTCCTCATACTCCTTTTTACCCTACACATCGATCTTAAGGCCTGCTTCTTCAACATCCAAACCTCCGAAAATCTTAGCTGCGAAATCAGTGGCTTTACTTACATGAGCATATTTTTTTATGGCTACCTGCATGCACAGCATTTCGTGCACAATTGAACATTCACAAATCCAGTGATTATGATTGAGGCCATGAGTCAAATGCGATGTTATTGAGCAATTAAGAATACACTCAAACCTCCACATAATGAACCCAAATATAACGAAATATTGGTTATAACAAAGTAAATAAAAAATAGTCTCACAATAGATTTAGTCTTAAGAATAAACCTTTCTGAGAAATTTTCAGATATCACGAACTTATTTTCATTTAAGATGCAAGTTTGCTATAATGAGGTTCGAGTGTATTGGCACAGCCTTAATTTACTATCAAATTTGCGTTTCCAAGGAGGCTTTACTAGTCATACAGCAAAATGTCGGCAGAGGGAAACTGCTTAAACCAAGCAGCTACCATATTTACTCGCATAATCCTCACACTCGCATAATTATCACACTCCCGACAAAAGTACGATTTTTTTTCCTCGAGTAATTATTGCACCCCCGAAAATTGCCGCAATAATGTCGCCTGCTCGTTCCAGCCACTGATGAAGACAGCGTGCGCCGTCTGGCGCCATCTCCTAAGCATAGAGCGTACTATTATTGCACAGAAATTCAATCCAAGCCAAAGTGGCAAGTGCGCGTAGCGGCGTGATTTGTATGTTGTGTCTTCTGTAATCTTGTTACGTTATAGGGGCGATGCAGAAGTTACACGGCTGCTTTCAAGTTGAAAGTGACTGATCGTGCCCTAAACAACACCAACAGTGCCGCCGGTAGGCCCTTCAGAGTAGAGTAGTTTTGTTGTTCGCTACTGGTGACTGCAGGTGAAAGCCACCATGACGTGTTGGACCTTCCGTGTGCCTAAGACTGGGATTGATGGTAAACTTTATTTCTTCAGAAGGCAACTGCGGACGATTCTGTTAAATGGCCATCAGCCCAATACTGACAGCCTTCGCCTACCTCTTGCAGACTCCTGTTGAGCGACGAACGCTACCGCTATGCACGCAATGCCCACAAGCCTTGCGTACGGTATTCCAATTCTCGACTATTTCATCGCACCTTTTGTGTCGCAAATCTTGCCTTGTGTTGAACCTGTGCTTCTATTATTGAGGTGAATCTTAATACTTCTCAAAGCGTGCTGTTAGTTGCTGGGGTGGGATTCCCGACTTGCGGCCACTTTGTTTTCTTTTTCGCTCTGTACGTTTTCGTGGAAAGTTTTCCCCACGTAATTCTCGCACCCCCAAACTTTGCATTGGTTTTCCGCCAAAAAAAGTGCGGGGATTATGCGAGTAAATAGGGTACTTATATGGCACGACTTCCTCTAGTTCGGTATGTCTTGCACGCTGGTGCTGTGCTGCCAATACACTTGCTAGTAAACCAAATTCCTGCAAAAACACAAATTTGCCAGGCTCCTACAGTATATGGCCCAAGCGACATTAAATACAGCTAAGAAAGCAAATGAAGTAGTCATTCTTATTGTGCACTCGTTTTATTTTTCTGGCGCAACTAAAAGCAGCCGAAGATGCAGAAAATATGAAGGTCTGGATCAAGAATATTGTATGATGAGCATGTAGATAAAATCATTCACATATGCACTATGCCTGGCTACAATAATGCTTTCAAGTGCGATACTGTGGCTTTCCTTTGAGTTCCCCTACTGATAATCACATTTTGTACGACTTTTTATTGTATTAACTGCAATGCTAAAAAGCTTTTGACTACAGCAGCTCCAGCTCTGCAAAAACATGACTATGCACTCTCAATGCAAGAAGCCTAAACAGAATGTAGCTTTATTGCTAGTAATTTAAGTTACTTCATATATTTCTAGAGTTTCATGACTTACAACATAAGCAATTTTAAAAGCACACGTATTTGACTCAGTCTCTAGTGAATATCCAGGCGCACTGGTCAGCTATTTGTGAGGCTACTAGTTATCTATGGCAACACGCATTCTACCACTGGTCTATCCCAGCTTTGAATTTCCTGGTCCCGAGTTCAAAGAGCATTGTGATCAACTTTCCTCCTGCCTCGAGACTACAATCGGCAGAATATAACTCCCCGCTTTCCGGGCCTCTTCTATGACTATTCTCTGCCGTTTCCAGTTTCCTTCCAAAATGCGCGACCAACTGAGCACACGAAAGTAAGAGCTAGAGTTTTCACACACTATACTCCCAGCACATTCTTCAGTTCTTTCAGTTAGCTAAAATAGCTCTCCCATAAGCATTTTCAGACAAAAACTGTCCCTCCAGAAGTCTTCCTTATGGGATTGCCTGACACAAACACACATGTGCATTCACACACAGCATGCACACACACACACACACACACATGCACGCACGCAGATTCACGGGGCTTCCGAGAAACCTTGAACACTGCACGGACACATTTGAACATCCACCAGTGCTTTTCTTCCAAGAGCCTTCAACCATGAAGGACCTCCCCCCTTTCAAGGAGAAGAGGGCCCTCCCTCGCAACCAACCTCAAACACTGCTCCGCACCACAAAGAAATCGAGCCTTCGGGGGAAAAGAGAGCGCGCATTTTTGAGGAACCCCGAACTGTGCGGCATTGCCACCCTGCAAGGGGGCACCGAGAATATCCCCCTCGTCACGCAGTGCAACCATCACGCTGAAACCGACCGCACCACAGTAGCTTCAACACTCTCCGTTCCGCAGCGCAGAAGAAACTGTCACCAGAACGGCACGAGCGAGGCGAGCCAGCGGAACAGCGCCACGTGGAACAGCGTCGACATGATGAAGAAGGCGTGCACGAGCACGATCCAGACGATGTTGAAGTCGACACGCAGGGGCGTCTCGCGCAGAGGTGCGAGGTGGTTCTTGCCAGCGTCCTCCTCCTCTCCCTGTGCCCCGGTGGAGACGTCCTGGGAAGCGTCCCGTCCGGTAGAAGATGTCCAGGAGGTCTTCCTTCTCTGCCCACCGGTCGTACAGCCACTTAGTGAGGGCCTGAAAAGTGAATAGAAATAGATTGGCGAGTTTGATTTGTTGGTACGTGATTAAAAGATGCTGCAGCGGAAGAAGAGCGCAGACAGAACAAAAATGACAAAGATGTTCCAACCTCAGCACTAATAGCACAGTCAAGCCTGCGTATAATGAACCTGAGCATGAGGCGACATCTGTTCGCTGTATCCCGAACTTCGTAGTGAATGAACCACAGATTTAAAATAATTTCGAGCGAGAACACAATTTTTTTCTACAGAATTGTTCGTGATGCACGTGTTTCGAAGATCAGAAGCGATAAGACTGGTCTCGAGTTTATTGAAGGGGTGACACAGGTCTTAGACGGCCAAAAATTATAAAAAAACTAGACTTTTTGAAGCTGACATTTTCGGAATCTGTACTTATTTTCGCACTTGTCTGAGAAGTGTCTAGCTTCTTGGATCATTATTTCTAGTGGAAAAATTAATTTATAACACCCCTGTGAGATGAATGCGTGCGCAAATAGACGCTAAAATCTCGCTTTTTCTGTGCCGAATCTTGGCTGGTACACACAGGCTATCGTGGTCATCTTCGTCTCATTCGGAGAGGTCATTCTTCATCTTCGATTGCCCGCCACGGCTGGTTTGCCTTGCTCATTGGTGTTTCAGCAAAAACGTATCATTGAGAAGCACCAGCATGTGATTCTATTGGCTACTTGGGGCACGTGACAAGACCTAGGCATTCGATTGGGCAAGTGACGTTTCCGGCGTCTGCTTCACTATTGTGACGTGCACGACATGCACCATTTTGTCATGGTTATGTTGACTGGCTGCTGGAGTAAACAAGTTCGGCACTACAATAATTCATGAAGCGGGTGTGGTGATCGTTCCTTCACCGTGAACTTCAGAAAAAGCCTTGCTATGGTTCGAAACAATGAGGATAACAAACCCGCTGCAGTCAATGGCGGTCACCGAGTCACCGGTGTAGGCATAACTCACGTACGAGCCCGTCAGTTGTCGGCAACGTCACTGAAAGCAGCTGTGCTTTGCAGCACCATCAGTTAGAGGACAACAAGTAAAAAGCAGATGCGAACCTACGAGAGATGTCAACCTTTGCAGCAATGGAACTGAAGCTCAATCTTATCGCTGAATAAGCCGAAGCCCCGGTTTCTGCCCACCTGACGAAATGACCTCGTTTGTGTGTGAACTGCACGACGGGTCGTTGGAGTGGAGTACGCGGCGCATCGACGAACAACAGAAAATGAATCTGTTCGCAGTGAACATGCTCGCCGCCCGTGCAATGAAGGCTACGGGCAACGTGTAGACTGTGTTTAACGACGTGTTCGCAACAGTATCGCGGTATTTACTCGAAAATGCGACAGTCATACGTGAAATGGAAACTAACACCCTGGCATGCATCTAGCCTCGAAATTGATGAGCAAGTGCACAATTTCGGTTTGCGAGATTTACGTGAGACTCATTTTGAACAAGCCAGAAGACATCGCTGTGTCATTCGACGGATCGCCGATGACGGGTGCACATTCGTTACACATCGGCATCACTTATAAGCGGCCTTGTTGGCAGACGAGCGCATGGTGACAACTTGCAGCAGTACTTGAAGAAACTCATGCAAACAATCAGTCCTATTACATGCCCGGTGCACATTAACTGACTAAAAGTATGTGTGCCATAATATTTTTCACTCCAAACGGCAATATAAAAAAAAGTTTTAACATTATTTTTCTCGATACACAGATTCTGACTACTTTCCTTGTTTGCTTGTTCTGTAAAAGTGGACCTAGACAGCTAGAGCTGTAAATATTTTTGCACAATGTAGCTAAGTGTGCACAAAAAACAATGCTGAGAGCCAATTTTCACTGTGTGGCTCCAATTTTTTTTTTTTTCATTTTAATATACAATTTTTGTTCTTGGTCAAATGCAGTGAACTTTATTGTGCTTTAATTCGAGAAGTACTTGTTCAATTTTCGATAAGCTTGCAGTGTTGCACTCCTTAGACTTTCTAGTATCCACATATATGCTAATGACAACGTAATTTTAGGTACATACATTTTTGCAGTTAAAAGGTTAGAATTATTTTTGTTCTTGATTTTCTCAAAATGGCAATTTTGTACACCCTGCATGACAATTTCTGCAACATATAGGAAACTATTACAAATAGCAGAATAATTCTTTTTACAGCATGAAGCTACATGTTTGGAGCACACAACATAAGAAGCAGATTTTAATTTCTCTTGATGCAAGTTTTAAAAGTTAGTATTTTCTGCGACTACACGATCGAGAGCTAGATGATGTAGTCTAAACTAAACACTAAACTTCATTCAGAGATAAGAAGTTTAGTGGTTTGCAATGCAAGAAATAATGACTCAATCAGAAAAGTGCTTTATGTTGTGTGTCTTATGCTTTCTACTGTTAATCCTTATGTCATTTGTAAACTTTTGACAGGTGGTTATTTTTCTATTGTGGTAAGAACAAAGTTTGTTAATATGATTATTTTAATTAACTAATGAAATACAAAAATAATTGCATTTTATAATCAGGAGAACAAACTAAGTAAGCATGCCAGCTTTTATAAAATTCAAATAAGAAATACATGAGATATCCTATAGACCCGCATCTCCCTTTAAAGAGGCAGCGTGCGCTTCACTGAGGCTCATGACATACACAAGCTGCTTAAGGCTATTAATGTAGCCAATTTCTTGCCATAATCATACTTGTGGGCACTGGCTCCAAACTTTCGTCATCCTCACCATTAGATTCCTGCAAATCGCTCCTACCGTGCATTTCATTTACAATGCCCTCATCCGTGCATAGTATCACAGTGTTGGTGTCATTATCGACCGTTATGAAATCGTTGCAACAGTTGTCTCGCACACGCTCCCATGTCAGAGTTGATGATGCGCCGCCACAAGCTGCCGCTGGAGTGGTCCTGTTCCGAAGCTCCAGGCTCGGCATCAGGTCCAACGCCGACAAAGCCAGCCTCGTGAAAAAAGTCTAATACACATGTGGCCGTTGATGGTGCGACCGAGCGCGTTGCCTCCGACGACGATGACGGTGAAGCGAACTCCGGACGACTACGAATCGACGCCAAGGTGGTGACAAACGCCGAAGTTGAAGAAAATCATGCCGGGAGAAAGCGTCGCTCGACCGGCTTTCATCGGCGCCAGCAACTGCACGGAAAATTGACCTTTTTCCACCGCGAGTTGTAGCGAGGCAACCGCACAGGACTCGGACCCACGCGGCTCCTTATCTGCTTAGCATCTAGATATCCTAAACGCGATAATGGGTGCCTTGTGTTGCAAAGCCTGCCACGGACCGGCTACGATCGTCAGAGGGGATCGGGACTACGGACTTGCCGTGAAAGTGCTAGTGCAGTGTGAAAGGTGCGGCGAGGATCGCGAATGAATGGACTTCGCCCCGCGCGAACGGCACGAAAACGTGCAATCCGTTTGAAGTAAATCTTCTCGCTTCGAGGGCGATGGTGGCTACCGGCACGGCCAAACGAAAATGAACGATATTTTCGCAACAATGGGCATCTCACACCGCGGTATGCACCACAAGACGTTTCAGCGGCATTTGAAGAACACGCTGGCACCCGCTGCAACGCGAGCGGCTGAGTCCGCTATGAGCGAATGTGCGGAAAAGGTTAGAACAATTTATGATGACTTGTGCTTCGGTCACCGGGCAATATTGCCGTTAGCTACGACGGCACGTGGAAGACGCGAGACATTCTTCCCACATCAGCGTGGGCACAGTTATCGAATTATTTAGTGGCTACGTGTTGGACTACGTCGTTCTTTCCAACTTTTGCCTAGGCTGCGAGGTGGGCCCAAAGCCTAGTAGTGAGGGCTATCAAGAATGGAAGGCTAACCACAAATGCCAAAAAAATACGAACAGCAAAGCGGGGCAAATGGAAGTGGAGGCGGCTCTAATTCTATTTCAGAGGTCGCTTGAACGCCATGGCCTGCGCTACACAACTATGCTGTCTGATGGAGACTCTAGGACATTTTGCGCCCACAAGACGCCAAGGTGTATGGTTACATTGACATGCAGAAGGAAGACTGTATTAATCATGTACAGAAACGGATGGGCACCGCATTGAGAAACCTGGTGCAGAAACAAAAGTGCGATGGGAAAAGAGGCCTTGGTGGGAAAGGCAGGCTCACAGGTGAGCTGATCACCAGGCTGAGCACATATTATGGCCGGAGCTCTGAAATCGCATGAAGGTTGACGTGGGCGAGATGCAAAAGGCTGTGATGGCCACATACCGCCACGTCACCTCCACTGATGAATGCTCGGACCACAGTCTGTGCCCAGCTGGTGAAACTTCATGGTGTCGGCACAATGCCGCAAAAGCAAAGGGTGAGCCCGACCCCAGGCATGCCTACAATCTACCGAAAGACGTGGCAGAGGCATTACTACCGGTTTATACCCGGCTTTCGGAAAGAGCCCTGCTTCAGAGGTGTGAACGCGGCAAAACGCAGAACTCCAACGAGCCTACATTCGGTAATCTGGAGTTTGGCCCCAAGGAGCACCATGCGTCCCTGTTCGCTGTTGAAGCAGCTGTTGCAGAAGCAGTGCTGCGCTTCAACACGGGCAATTTGAATTCTGCAACGCAATCTTAGGTGAAATGGACATGAATGCGAACAGTACTGTGCCAGGAGAGCGAGAGAAAAAGACCACCGTCGCAGCATTGTCTCCAACAACAAAAGAACAGCCTCATTGGAACTCCGGAGCTAGTGAAGAGGAGGCATGAGCACAGAATGCATTCAGACTATGCTTCTGGTGCGTTTTGAGGTTGTCTTGTTGCATCTTCTGCAATAAAAATGTGTGCCCACTTTTTTTCCTCGATTTCTCAAAACGACAATTTTCATGTGCTTCCCATTATGCCGGAGCAATATCTCTTGTTCTATCTGGGTTATCATTACGATTTCTTTTTGTTCGAAGATAAATGCAGGGGATTGTCGTAAGTAAGTTTTATTGTAATAATTTTGGAGAAAATTCTCTAAA